AATGCCTGTACTGCACCGCCAATAGCAGGATGCACATGCAATGCATCTGTCTACACATACCTATGGGGCCATGCCTGCAGGCAGCATCTGGACATCAGCCAGGTCAGTTGCAAGGGCTTCCCGCACTATCTGCAACCTTCTACTCTCAGTCAATCCAAATGCTGCTACCAATGTGGCATCCCCAGCCAAGGCAACAAAGTTTTGGCAGGCAGTCCTTACTCACCAAGTCCATAGCAGCAAATAGGAACAAAAAACTACACATGACACCGTGAAGCCCGTCAAAGTCACCCAATCTTTTTGGCTGCCATGTCATTGCTAGAAGTCGTAAAGATAGCTATTCCAAACGAGCAAGCAAAAGCGCAGCCAGGATTCATCTGGACTCCTCGAACCTCCTCCAAAAGCATGTCCATCCGTCGCCTGATCTGGCCTGAACTGCCTCGGAGTCTTTGAGTGTCTGTGCCCAGGCGATCAATTGCATCATCGATATTCTTGGCCACAGTCTCCAGATACCTGAGCCCAGGAACCATCGACTCTGTGCGCGCAGCCTCTTCTAAAGCAATACAGCTAGGTTTTCTCTCTTTTTGCCAAGGGGCTGGATCGGGGCATTCTTTGCTTGCATGTCTTTTGCCAACGCCGTCGCCACCTTTTCCGCAGCTTCCCGATGATAATCTCCTGCCACTTTGCAGGACACCGCTAGTAGGGCAGCTGCTGCTACGGACCAAGGAGTGATCGGGTAACCTGCAAGCCCTACACCTGCTATGACACCAATGGGTCCAATTCTAGAGGCAAGGCCAACGGCATCCCTCTCAACCTCCACATGCCAATGCGCTTGCCGAAACTTCTCCAAATTATCCTTATCCGATTGCAAGAGTAGGTTGATGTTGTCCTTCCTCTGTTGGTGAAGCTTTTGCAAATCTGAAAAGTAGTCCATCACCTCGGCCAGCATTCCTGAAAGCTCATGTTCAGGCAGAACCTCAGACCTGTTGCAAGCTGCAACGATCTCCTCACAAATTTTTGTGAAGTTCTTGCACTCGTGAAAGATGCGGAATTCCTGATTTGCCAGCATCTTCATCCGGCGTACAAGCTCTGGCGGAATCTCAAAGCCAGGTTTCAACATTTCCACGTGTGATTTGTGAAAGGCAACCAAGAGCCGTGGGATGTTTGGATCTTCTACATTCAAAGGCTCCTGCCGAGAAGCCAGTAAATGGGCCGGCAACTGAAGTGCCATTCGTGAAGCCCAGCCTTCTGTTTCCCTCTGGACTTGAGCTGAGAGCACTCGGTCAACTTCAGAAGACAAACTCACGCCCAGAAGTTGCCTTGGATTGAAATTACAAAAGCAGAAGTGCCCCCATACAAGTTTGGAACTCCGAGCAATCCTTTTTCAGCGCGCTGCCAACTAGCTCAAGGTGCCTGATCCAAGCCAAAACGGCCACACGGCATGTTTACTGTACAACACACCCTGGTAGAAACAGCTCAAAATCACACCCGTCTTATCTTCACCCTTTGTGTCGCGTTCAGAGTTGCCACGTGCAACCATCCTACTGCGATGTGCAGGCTCGTACCTTTCTGTGGTCAAGAGATGTGCATTCTTGTCCACATCAACCCATTGTGACGGTATAAGTTGATGTCCTTCATCCAACAATTGCTGAAGTTGCTGTCCATACACTGGTGTTGCAGCATTGAAATGGCAATACTTCTTCCATCCTGCCTTTCGTGCCTCAATGATGCGCTTTTGCACCTCCGGCGGGCACTTATCGAAGATCAGTGTTCTTGAAACCTTTCCTTCCTGTGTTGCAGCTTCCTCACCAAAACGTTGCGCAACAAAAGCCTTGTATTCATCCATCAGGCCAGGATCCAAGGACTCACCTGCAGCAACCATTGACTCGCTGGTCTCTTTGCTTCCATCTTCATAGATCTCTCTGGTCACCCGTCTTCCTCTGTGCCATAACCTTCGGGAACATCTCCGTCTTGCATCGGACGGTACTCGTGGTACCGCTTCTTGCCGTGTTGATGTTGTGAGATCCCCCAGTGATCTTCAGCAATTCATTGTTGCGAACATGACTTCATCTTCTCCTTCAAGTCCACCACGCGTCATAGGTGCAGTGCTTGTAGATGATCCGGCAGCCTTGCCCGTCTTTTCTTCTGCTTGAACTTTTTTTTGGGTTTGCTTCGTCGTCCATCGTCCCATTTGCGATTGCTTCTGGGAGCACTGGAATGTTGTTGAGAATTGAATGGGCCAAGGATTCACTCTCATTGGCTGATCTGAGTCACTTGCTGCAGGGTCAAGCTTGTCTTCAAAAATGCACAGATTTCCAGCTTCTTCCATGTCAGGAATTGATCCTGGAATTCGTGGGTTCCTGGGGCCCGCCGTGCATGAGAATACCCTTGGACTCTCTGCATCTGGTCCTTCACGGACGCGCGCTCAAAGGCATCTCTGCCAACGGCTTCCGTGTCATGACTTGTCTTCCTGAGGATTGCCTTCGCGATTCCTTGGCGTCGTTCAACCTTGTCAATGGCTGATAGGGGTTCCACTGGAGCGTAGAAAATCTTCACTTGGGACACCTCTGTTGTGAACTCCATGGTCCATGATTGCAGCCCTTGGGAATCCACCCCAGCTGACCCGCCTGCGCATGATTGCCTGCGCGCAAGCCTCTGATGCTGGCATTCCTCCACCTTCTTTGACAGTCTCTGATAGGTGGAATCCAGTTGAGATATCCAACATGGTCAAAAGGCTGAACTTGTTTCCTGCATAGTCTTTCATCTCTGTCACGTCAAGCCCTAACGTTGCATTGAACTCATATGTGAAGTTACTATTCCCTATACTGGACGGTCACGGTCACGGGGCTTTGGCGCAGTATCTTCACAAGACTGACAGCGGACAAGACGCGCGGCTTCGATCAATTCTTTGCTAGCCTTACCTGCCTTCAAAAGGTTCTTCAAGATCGAGGGTGCAGGATGGCCAATCTGACAGTGCAAACGACGAATGGCGATGCTAGTTTTGATCAGTGATCTGGGGGTTCTCTAGATCGCTGTCATCAATCTCTGAGATATGTTCAAGCTCATCTGCTACAAAACAAGTAGGCGCAAAATGCTCCAAATACGGCTCTTCGGACAGAGTGCTCAACATGTCCATCAACCTAGATGACTTGATGTCTTCAAAACACTTGGGCGTCAGTCTCTCTCGACACCATCCTTCCAGAGCCTCTGCGAGCTTGCCACTCTGTGGGCCTGCCCCATGTCAAGCGATGGCCTTTACAGCAAAAGATTGCATCCATACACGTCCACTTCCATCAGCAAGTCATCCCACAACCTCTTGGGGTTTGTGTGCTCTAGATACACGACAACTATTACTAAGCCAGGCTTTTTGTTTGAAACACGTTTTATGACTTGCTTTCGAGTCTGGCTCCAACTGGCTCCTACAAAGGGTATCCTTGATGATGACCATATGCTCTACAAAGGACTATTGGCAGCTAGTGCACTCAACGCTCAATCTGGCCCACCCCACGTCTATCCGAACGTTTGGTTGTCATCCTGGCTCATACAGTTCGACGGTCTATAGTGCCATGAAAGCATGTCCACCCTGGCAGTCAGAGCTCAGCCCAATCTGCCCTTGGAACTTTCTCAAGAGAAACTCATCTTGCTCGAGGTCCTCGCGCGGCAAACAGGGTTTCTCTGGAGTGCTCATGGTCGTGGCGATTCCTCTTTGGGCAAAATAGAAACAGTTGAATCACCAACATTTGCTTCATCTGTTGCAATGCATCCAAGAAACGGTTCAACAGGCTCCAATGGCCCTTGCACCTCATCCTTGATGTCTCATGGATGGGTCTCCCTGGCGCTCTCACTCTTTGGCGCTGCTTTTGCCGTTGCGGATGTACCTCCGCCAGCTCCAGGGCCTTGCCCATCATCACCACTGCCGTCTCCATTGTTGCCATGCTCATCTTCTTCTTCCTCTTCCTCCTTCTTCTTCTTCGTCAACCATGCCCCGAAGAATCTCTGGATGAGCCCCGATGTGACCCTATATAAGGGCCACGCATCGTGCTGGGGATATCACCACAGTGCATCACGTCGATGATCAAACACCAACGCTCCGTGCCAAAGCCCCACACAAGCTCTCAGGCCGATGCCAAATTCTTCTTCTTTGAGAAGGCCTCTGCGGGCTTGTGGAACTCATTCACGCAGCCATTTCATCGAGCGCGCGTTGGCTGTTGGCTTCTGATCGGGATGTCTCCTGCCATGAACGCGGTCAGGGCACTCCCAACACTCCAGGTGGAGTGAACCTTGGGAGCTTTCTCTCCTGCAATGCCTGCTTAAAAACCTTCGATGAAACACTTGCCATCTGCCATGCTCTTAGTGAATGCTATAATTTAATGCTGCTTGTGCATGTTGCGACAACAACAATGAAATCTTGCTGTTCACGATGTGTGCTTCCATGACTCCCGGCAGCTTTCGAGCAGCATTCAAAAGGGAATCTGCGCTTTTCCATGGTCACGGTATCGCCTGCTAGACCTCTAAATGCTTTCTCGTCCGGCTGCAAATCGGCCACGTTGTATCCGAACTTTTGGAATTTGGCCCGTGCATTGGTGATCCTAGCTTCACCGCAAACAGTGGCATTGCAACCTTCATCCAAAACAGCCCAGACTCCATGACAACCTCGTCCAGGTCAGTCAGTAACAGCGCTCTGGCGCTCCCTCACGGACGGCCTCAACTGCATTCGCCAACATCAAAGATGACACCGTGTATACACGGATGGGTTCATCATATTCAATCTCTGTTTCCAAATCAGTCTTGAATAACTCCAAAACTTCCAAAGCTGCTTCTGCGTCCACGCGTGAGTTGTTGACTTCATGCTCAACAATGGCGGCAGTTGCGTCGAATGCGTGTGACTTCACGTTTGCAGCGTTTTTGGCCGCTGCCTCTCTCTTCCGCGCCTCTTCTCTGGGCATCTCATCGACCGCGGTGCCACACATCTTGCAATACACACGGAACTACCTCTATGGTCAGTTGCTGCATGTTTGCACCTTGCAGGGTCCACCAGGGGTTCTGATGATTTCTTCTTCTCTGTCTTGCCACAGTCAAGACAAGTTTTGTTCTCAACACACGCATGGGATCCCTGATAGGCGAATCGGGTGCGTCGACGGCGTGGAACTTTCAAGGGTGGATTGAGGGGCTTTCCCTTGACTCGCTGCTTGTTCACAGTGCTTCGAATGGCTTCTTCTGGCACGCCAACCAGAGGGTGCTCTCTCAGTACAACATCGCACCTCATAGAAAGTGGTTACTATTGCCCAGGTCAGAAAACCTGCCAAACACTTGGAGGGATGTGATATGTGGGATCCCCGCTGGTAGTATCCAGGATTCTTGAACCACACCTCATGATACCTTGGCGCTGTCCAAACACAAAGACAGTGTTCGACCCTTCTGGCAACACGTCCTGCTCCGTGTTCTTGCCACGCCTCATGGCTGGTGGTGACTCGTGGAGGTACCGACGAAAATTGGCTTCGACAAGCGAAAAGCTCGAAGGACTATACTTGTGGCTCCTGATGACGTGGACGCACGTTCAGATGGGTCAAACTCAAGCTTCTTCTTTGGCCTCATGCGATGGGCCATGTAACATGTTCTCTCTTTCCTTGTTTGGCTTCCAACGGCAGACAATGTACTCATCTTCCACTTCTGACGACGAGTCATCATCACTCAATGCATATAGTAGGCTGAAGCCTTGCTGGTCGTCGATGATCCTCCAGCGGACTTGTCACTTTGCTTGGGAAACTTGCGTGCTGGGTCTCCTGCCCAGTGTCCTCTTCCACCACAGCGCAGGCATTTTGAAACAGCCTTCAACTTGGCAAGTCGTGCAATTCTGTCTTGCGCACCCGACTGTGTTCTGAACATGTGCTTTCCCTCGCCATTTCCTTTACCTCCCTTTTGGCCACAACTTTTGCCTTTGTTTTTGCCTGATCAACTGCAACAAAGGCTATCAACTGATACTGGGCTGCGTCTCCCAGCTCTTCTGTCACATCCGTCTCATTGTCGTCACATTCAGCCATAGCAGTCAGCGCAACTGCTGTGTCCATGTCTTCAACAAACTCCTCTTCTGGCCGTTCTTCTTCCTCTTCAGCAATGTGTGCTGTGTCCTTATAGGAGTCATCGTGCCCCCACGGCTCTTCCTCAACCATGCATGCAGTCTTCAGCCAACCGCGTCCCTTTCGTCGGTAAAAAGGACTTGCCAGTTGACTTTCCTTTTCCTTTGGACCTGTTCATGTTTGCACTTGTCAAAGCAGTCCAA